TTCTTTCTGTAATTGTGAGGAATTTTCAAAATTATTCCTTGAACTAGACGAAACGTTTTCCTTAGATGCATCCTGAGTTATAAGACCAGTTGATTTTATCTTGAGCGGATTATTATCAGTGAGAAGATGTTCTGGGACGAAAACGAAATGACTCTAGTTTGTCTTTGGCTTTTCTTTTACCAGCATTTTCATCATCAGGCGGTAAATTTTCATCAGTACATTTTTGAAAAATTGGTGGACTTACAATGGAATGCAATTCATCAAGGGAATATAGGGTCCCTCTAAATTTGATTTTATTTTTAATAATAACAGATTTGTCATCTATTATTTGTACCTTTTTTAGAGTTTCATACAAATCTTTTCTTCTCTTTCTGTCCAAGAACGTTCGGTCATGGGCTATAGAACAATTAATTTCACTGAGCTTGTCCCTCTTTTTAAACAAATTCATTTTGTCCCTATGGCTAACAAATGAAACTAAAATTGGCCTAGGGGCCTGACCTCTCCCTAGTCTCCGGCAATATGAAATATCCTTGACAGATAAGTTGGTTTCAGTTCTATTAAATAAGGTTTTTAATGTATCATAGACATCTTCAGGCTCTTCTCTTTGAGGCTCAAGAACTTTATATACGATTGTATTATTTTTTATTAGTTCTCGTCTGAGATCATTTATTTCTTCCTCCGGCATTTCTACTTTCTTTTCTAAGAGGGCCTGTTTAACTCTACCAGCATGAAGTTCCTCAATTATTTGGGATATTGCTTGTTTTATTTGACCGAGATCATTTCCAATGGCTTCAGTGTTTTTTGTGTTAATTTTTGTTTCAGTCATAATGTCCTCTAGCATTATAGAAGGGGCCATTTTATTATAAATTATATTGTTATTGTTATAATAAATTATATTGCTCACCAGCTGATGAGGTAGGTGGAGGGGATATCACACCGGTTAAAATATCTGGTGTATTGTTGACGGGTTACAGCACGTACGCCCCCACTATTACTTATCTACCTGCTGCTTGTATCAATTGTCTGAGCAAGGAATTTAGATGAAAGTATTTTCACCTTATTTTTCTACAGCCACTTCACAAAATCTCACCAAATTGAAATATAGTGTTCCTTAATAAGTATGGTAACCACTAGTCACTACTTTTTTCAAATTATTTCACTTTGGACTTATAAACTGGATAACTATCACAGATCCGAACTGTACTGCTTCACGGCCAGAGCCAATTTACTTATTTGGGCTCAATAGTTAGCTGTTTAAACACGATATCTCTTGAGACTGGCAAACGAATACAAATGATCTATTGCTGCTTTTTTGACGGAAGAAAGCTCCTCAGTAAGATCTTATTTGGTCAGACCAAGTACCATCTTTATAAAACACTGCTATGACCGCTGCTAACCTATTTCAGAGATGTGGACTCTGACTAGTTCAGAAGAAAAAGGGCTTCTAAACTTTGAAAGAAAGATTTTGTGTCTTATTTTTGAACCCATTAAGAATGAAGGAAACCAGTGGAGGAGATGCTATAAAAGGGAGATATATGAACTCTTTGGAGAAGAGAACGTCATTCGTTTTATAAAATAGTGTGGTTCAAAGACTATTGAGCTGATAATTTCTTAACAAATATAGTTTGACGAAATGGTGGATGTGGGCAGGATCGAAACTACCAGAAGGCACTTCTTTAACACCAAATCAATTCACATATAAATTTCCAACCATTTAACTCAATTAGGAGGGTCTATAGACACAAAAATGGCCTTAAAAACTGGAAAAACAAAAAAATGGTGGAGAGGAGAGGAGAACAAAGTTGCGATAGCAAAACACAATTCTCTAACATCTACTCACAGCCCAGTAAAATTAGACATGTTACCTTACAAAAGATCGGTTAATTCAAATTTCTTTTTTATATTGTTAGGTATGTAGTGGTGAATATAAAAAATCCAAGTTTCCACCCTTGGGGTCGCTACAGTTCTCCTAAAACCATTGAAATTTCAATTTTTTTTTTTGGTTTATACTAAATATATATTTTTTAGAGTGAAATAGATAAAAAATAGTTATATTCAATCTTAAACACCTTATAATTATCCAAAATTTTTGTAGATAACATTTTTGTTCTAAATCTAACAGGAAGCGAACTATCCAGATTTGAAAATTTATCTATTTTGATTTCTTCACAATAATGCTCTTTCAGTTTTGAAGGGAAGAATTTCGTAACTCCATTTTGAACCTCATATAGAGAATTTGGAGATTTTCCTTGAAGATAATGAGACATTGACTGGAACAGTAGACGGTAGTCAGGAGGTGTTTTGAAAATTAGGTTACAGGGTGGGCCAGACCCCCCAACTGTGCAACCTCTCCTCATGCCCCAATAAATTGCATACAGTTGTGTTCCTTGTAACTATTTATATAAAAAAGCCAATGTTCCCACAAAAAAAATGGCCGTACTGTCTCAAAATGCCGTCGAAATATGGTGCATTGAAGTCTTTGACTTGTTTTTGGTTTTGTTAGTTTTTGGTCACTGAAATAACAGCGTTTCGCTTAACTTCGTCATAATTGGTCTTATATTAAATAGTTAGAGTCAGAGCTAGATAGGTAGAGAATAATAAAACATGAAAAAATCTATATTAATAAAAACGTAAATGTTCGTTTGTTCTAAACAGCAAATCTCCGAAACATCTTCACCGATTGCTTTGAAATAATGACATAATGTTTCTATCGCATTCAAGGATGTTTTTATATACATTTAATCACCCTTCGGTCTTTCGTTTCGGAAAGGCGGCCCAAAAACCTGTGTCGCTATAGACTGTAGCGCCTAAACGGCTTAAACGATTTTAATTAAACTTGGCTAAAGTCTTCTCCTTGAAGCTCTTTTAATTTATGTATATAACATCCTTCCCCAAAATTGATACCCTGTAAAAAAAATCACTAAAATCGGACTATTTGGTGCAGAGATATAATGCTTTAAACATTTAGTAATTTTTCGGGGGAAATTTAGAAACCAATTGCTTCTTATATAGACAATTATATGCTGCAAAATCTAGAGTTGGAAAACCAGACAATCTCTATAGCTATACAAAGAATGTAACAACAAAGAATGTCGCATATTCACAAGTATTGTTACATAAAATATGTTAGAAATATCTAATTTCTTTTCTACTTCTTTTTTTTATTTGACCAGAATGACCAGAACACAGCGTGTGACCAGGTACAGCTAGTATTAAAATAATAATTGGCCTTGGCAATAAAAAACATCTGTCAAGTCAAAAGTCAATTTTTAAACTAAAGTTGAAAATCAAGTGTCATTTGTAAATAAATGGCCAACAATAACAAAAAAAGCCCCGAAATAAAACATCTGGAGAATAAATTTTTCTTTCTAAAACACTGATGACTTATAAAAATGTTTGTAACGGTTACATAGAAAATATACTAAATCAGCAGAAAAGTGTCACTGACATAAGCGCCTAGAGTCCTGTCATGGAATTTATTACTATTTCCTTTATAAGCTCTTTAATATTCAAATGCTCCTGTTGAAGACCCCAATCAAGAGTAAAACCCAAGACCCGATCTTTGAAGATCATCTCGGACTGTTCGGCCTCCTCAATTCTGGAAAGACTGTGTCTTTAAATGACAAAGGGAGAGGAATGAACGTAATGAAATTATGTCCTTTATAACCTTTTTAATATTCAACCTAAAATAGATCAAAATATTCATTTTAATATTTAATAATGTTTTGTAGTTCTTAATGAAGTGTTTCAATCAAGCTGTTATCTTTCATGTTACATTGTATGATAAATAAAACCTTGAGCTGTTAAGGCTTATTTTGTATAAGTAAAGCATACTACAAGTCCTCAGCCACATCATTCGGTACTCATAAACGGCATAGTTGTAGTGTTATAATAACGTTTTTAATACATTATTTTGATTGTATTAACGAACAAATATAAATACAATAAAACAAAGATATATGGATAATATTAATTATTGAAAAATATGTTAGAATTAAGTTCATTTAAAAGTAACACAATAAACAGTAAAACTGTTGTTTTTTTTTTTTTCGAATTTCAAAACATAAATTTCTTTTTAGCGATTTGTATTTAAGTTGTTCAGTTTAGAGAAATATTTTTACTATAAAAGCTATAGTAAATTGTGTGTTCTTTAATATTTAATTTAAAAATTTGAGCTACCTCACCTATATAAACAGATAATTAATAAAAATGTTATGTACAAAAGTGCTAGATACTTTCAAGTTGTTTAAAACTAAATATAACCATTTTTTATTTATATCGCTTTAAAAAATATTTAGCGTAAACCAAAAAAAGTTCAAAATTTGTACGGTTTATGGAGACCTGCAGTGAACCCACAAGACTTTCATAGGCGGAAACTGGATTTTTTATCTTCTCCACATACCTAATAATATAAAAAAGAAATATTAATTATCTTTTTGCAAGCTAGACCTCTGACTTTATAGACTGGGCTATTAATTCACATTATAAATTTCAATCCTCTATATGAATTTGGAGGGTCTAAAGAGGTGTGCAAAGGTTTAAAAACTAGGAAAATCTGTGAATTTTGATGAAATTTACCTATACTTTTATGGTAAAGTCGTGCCCAAAAAAACAAACAAAACCTACATAGTGAATTTCACCTTATGTGATCAGAACGAGACGCTGGGTCATGGATTATGTAAAATTACATTTACTGCAACATATATACATATCTGAAATCCAACTAATCACGTTCCAAGTGTTCTAATACGGATATAAAATGCATTCTCTCTTTCCCAATGGCCTTTGATACTGTAGAAAAGTCAATACAATTACAAGTCATTAAATATAATAATCATCATTAGAAAACAAACTCTTATTCAATGATTACTTGAACTCCAAATAATTATTCATTATTTCGTCAGTTCAATGTATCAAGTGCTTGTTTATACAATCCAAATCATATTCAATATGAGATCTTATAATTAAACAATAAATAAACTAATAAACTCATTACTCACTGAATAGACTCAGAATTAGGAGAAACTGGGAAGTTCTTAGACATTCTAAGATAGATATTAATAGGATCTTCAATCGCACATTTTTGGACTTTTATATTATTTTGTTGACTACTATTAAAAGGGAATTTTCCTCTTCCTCTGCCAGCCATTGACTAACACAACTAAAACAAAATAAAAAAATTAAGAATTTCAAAGAAAATGGAGAACATTTAATAATTAATGATGTTTTCAAAAATTATATTGTGTCCTTGTTTGTTTTAAGATGTTGTTTATTATTGTTTGCATCATAAAATTATAGCATTAAGAAATATTTTTATCCATTTGGATACATTTCCCACTTATTATACATGGGTAAGAAGAAGCTGATGTACCTCAACGGACTATGGCCCCGGAGCCAGGGCCCTAAAATCGGTCTGATCGCAGGCGAAGGGTTGATTGTAAATTACGAAAGTGTATGTTATTCTGAGTGAAAAGCACCTTGTCTGCCGTTCCAGAGCCGCTGCTTTCGAAAATGGCGGCTGATTTAAAGAATATTAGGCCAATAATTTAAGGATCGAAACGGGAAATCCGTTGCGAAAAGTTTTCATTTTTTTAACTTGTATATATGGGTTTAGACATGTAAAAAAAAATTGCTGACGCGGGCCACCAAAGGAAAACTTTTTACAGCCCAAAAAGACTTTTTTTTTAAAAAAAGAAAAGTTTTTTTTTTAATTTTGTTTTTTCCACCTATAACTCCTAAACGATACATCAAAGCGAAAAATGTATTCTTTACTATGCGGTAAGGTATAATACCAAGGTCAACCAACAGTGATTTTTACCAAATTTGTCAAAACCTGAGACAAATTACTATAAATGGCTCTGTAACTTGGAAATGAGTTCCCTAAGAGGAAACATCCATATAATCAAAGTTGTAGAGCATCAAATTTTGCGTTAACTGAGTACCAATTAATTTAATGTAGGTCCCTTACTGCGAACAAAATCGGTAATCTACTGATGTTTAGAAATTGGTAATGAAGGTAAACGTGATTTTCAATATTTCAACAGCATGGGTGTCTATTCTACTGAGTTATTTATGTTACGAGACTGTTACATGCAGTATAAGCCTCTTTTCCACCCCTCAACAGCAAAGAATTTTGGTAAACGATATGTCGAAAGATACAGAATTTTATAAAAAAAAAAAAGAATCACGATTCGAGATATATAATTGGCCTACAATAAAAATGTCTGTACTCAGTTGACGAAAATTGCATGCTCTACAACTTTGATTCTATGGATTTTGTCAATGCACCGAATAATTGTAACGATTTTATCTATTCATAACAATTTGGATAACGAAATAGTTATGCTAGTCCCAATAAAATTTACAAATTACTATTCTTTTTTTCTATATAAAAAAAAATTTACGTTTCTTATGTGCAATTTTATTATGGAAAATATACACTGACAGGCAAAAAATTCCACCCATTTGATTTTTTCATGTTTTCATCTAAAAATATTTCTGCTTTGGATTGGTCTATTGTTTTTAATGAAAAAATAGGTAATCTTTTTGTTTGTTTTTAATTAGGAATGTTAATATAGACGACAATAACCCTTAATCCTTAATTCAATGAAATGATTCTAGATTCCAATGTTTACTTGTTTACTTTTTTTTTTTTTTTTAAGAAAATAGAACTTTATTCAGGGACTAAGTCCCCTTAGAATAACAAAGATGAATTAATACAAAATAAAATACCAATCTGGCCAAAAACTAACTTATAAAAATTCTAACATAATATAAATTATTTAAAAAGTAGTATGTAACCACTAAGAAATAAACAAAAAAAATATACATATATATAAATACAGGCACATATACATACATACACATACATACATACATATACATACATATAGATATATATATATATACATATATATATATATATATACACACACACACACACATATATACATACATATACATATATAAATGAACATACAATCTTCTCCAAATTTACTTATTATTATGATAAAAAAAACAGAAAAGAAATTACATATCTATATATACATAACTGCACAATTTATAAATAATAGACTATCTAATAGAAACATAATTTAATACAAAATGTAATAATATTTAGTGATTCATACAATAATAAGCAAACACTAAGATAAAATAAAATCTCAGGAATAATTGTAGTATAAGGGTAAAAAAGGAACTACATATACGTACTTACTCATATTGGTACACAGAGAGACAAAAAGTACAAAATATAAACATATATACATGAAAGAAAAAGCACAACCTGAGGTGAAGAGAAATACAAATAAATAGTATAAATAATAGTCAAAAATCATTGCTGTTTTGTGTTAAAACTTAAACTGTAGGCATCACCATTTACTTAAATTCAGTTCTTAAAATGAAATTTATGGTTGCGAATCGTCTGTTTAGGATGTGAGGAGATATTGGAAAAGGAGGTATTTGAAGGTTGATAGTGAAGAGGCATGACGGATGTTATGTGGCAAAGAATTCCAGTAGGTGACGGAGCGGGCTAAGAAGGAACGTTCATAGGTTTTTGTCTTGTGTAATGGAATATAGAGGTCAGAATCACGGGATCTCGTTTTTATTGGGTGGACTAAAGGTTTCGGCTGGAGGAGACAGTAGATATAGGAAGAATGGTGGGAGTTGATCGTTTGATATAAGAAATTTCCAAGGAAGTATAGGCGGCGGGAAGAGGGGAAGAGCCATTTTGACTCGGCATATATGTGGGACACATGAGACCATCTCGAAGTGACGAAGACAAATCTTAAAAAACAATTCATGATTCTCTTCAGTCTGTCCTCAAGCTCCAACGAGAGGCCACCATATACCACACAGCCATAGTCAAAGTAGGGGAAAATCAATGAGGAAACGAGGAGCTTGCGGATAGGTTGTGGGAGATGCTGACGAGAACGATGAAATAGTTTAAGTATACCAATTGACCTTCTGGAGATATGAGCAATATGGGGTTTCCATGATAGGTTTTGATCAATGGTAATTCCTAAGTTTTTTACAGAGGAGGAGAAGGAAATTGGTTGGTCATTAATAATCAAGGAAGGGTGGAGATGGATCTAAGGAGGGAGTTGGAACCTATAAGAATTGCCTGAGTTTTTGATGCGTTTAAGTTTAATTTATTCAAGCTTGGCCAGGCACTGATCCTATCTAGGTCTTTCTGAATATTCATAAACGCTTCTAATAACTCAGTGGGCGGAAAGGAAAGATAAATTTGGGAGTCATCAGCATATAGATGGTATGAACAATGGTGGATTGAACTAGGAAGGTCATTGATGTAAGAATTAAAAAGGATAGGAGAAATGCTTGAACCCTAGGCTACTCCATTAGACAAAGTGAGGAAAGAAGATAAGGGTTGATTCGGAATACTAACAGCTTGAGTCCTGTCAGAAAGGAAGGATTGGAACCATAGGATAGAACTATTGGAGAAGGATTCTACTTTCTATAGAATCAAAATGTTTATTCAGTATCATTAGTACAGTGCCATTTCTTGCAGCACATTTCTTAGTCTCCGGCTTTTAATTTTTTCAATATTAAGTTTAAAAATGCCTCTTGGTGCTGAGGATGTTGCGCGTGGTGTGGCACTTATTGATTATGGACGTTCCATTAGATAAGCAGCTAATGCCATCAGAGTTGCATATGAAACTTTACGAGACGCCGTCAGGCGTTTTCGGGAAACTGGTTCTTACAATAGAAGGCCCGGTTCTGGAAAGCCTAGGGTAACAGAACCACGGGATGAACGATTTTTGACTTTGAGAATTTTACAAAACCGGCACCTTACCGTTGTTAAAGCGATTCATCAGCTCGAAGAAGTTCGAGGTATGCAAATTTCTGAACGGAGAAGATTAAATGAGTATGGATTAATGGCTTTTCGTCCAGTAAGAGGACCAGAACTCACAGAGTAATACAGCTGGCTTTTGCTCGAGAACACAGCCATTGGACTATGGACGATTGTAAATAGAGTGTGAGTGTGCTTTCTCTGATCACTATTATAAATGTCCTTGATGTGACAGAATGTAATAATTCTAAATAAACAAATAATAAAAATAAAAAAAACTTTTTACAGATGAGTCAAGATTCGCTCTTCGATCTCCAGACGGGCGTGAAAGAGTGTGGAGAAGAAGAAACGAAAGATATGCAGCCTGTAATTTTTCCCAGAGCCAACCTTTCCAACGTGGTTCCTTAATGTGTGGGCTGGGATTTCAATGGAGCGCCGCATAGAATTGGTTGTTGTTCGTGGAGGGTCTTTGACGGCCATTCGCTATGCAGATGAGATTTTGGAACCTCATGTGTTGTCTATCCTCAACGAAATCGGCGATTGTTCTATTCTAATGCACGCCAAAATGTCGCCCGCATAGTGCAGACGTTCCTTCAACAGAACAATATTGAGGTTTTAGCCTGGCCAGCACGTTCTCCAGATTTGAACCCCATTGAGCATTTATGGGATAACGTCGGAAGACGAATAAGAGCGCGTGCAACACTTCCTGATACACTGCATGACCTTGAAAGGGCTCTTCGGGAGAAATGGGCTATCCTCCAGCAAAGGGACATTTCCCGACTGGTGGAAAGTATGCCGAAGCGTCTTCAAGAAGTAGTGAAGGCAAGAGGAGGAAACACAGGCTACTAAACGATAATGTAATTAATTTCTTTTAGAATAATAATGGACCGCTTTTCAATTTTTTTTTTGTCTAATCTTTCTTACCCAATCACATTTTGATTATTAAAGGTAAAAAAGATTATAAAATTCCATAAATACTAAGCATGAGCTACAAATACCATGTATTATATACAAATAAAACTTTACAGAAATATTTTTAGATGAAAACGGAAAAATCAAGAGGGTGGAATTTTTTGCCTGTCAGTGTATATACAACTGCATCCTAAGAACCACCCATTTTCCTCTCTTATGGAAATATTCCACCGTCGTCCTTTTCCTGAAACCAACCAAACCTTCCAATAACACATCATCCTATAGACCAATCAGCCTACTCCCAATCCTTTCAAAAATATTTGAAAAAATCCTATTAAAAAGAATCCTAACCATAATAGAATCTCAAAACCTTCCTACCAATCAATCCGGATTTCGTTTCCAGCATTCCACCGTTCAACAAGGACTCCGAATTGTTGACC